GCCGCTCCCCGGGTCCGGGGGCAGGCCGTCTGCTTACCTGCGCGGCTGCCGAGCCCCCGCCAGGGTCGCCCAGCTCCCCCGCGGCCCCGAGAGCACGCGAGCCCGGGTCGGCGCCGCATCCTGGGGCGGGAAAGAGGCCGCAGGCTCGACCTGCGCCCGGCGCGTCGTGGCGGGGCCGGCCCCCGCCCCCTCCAGGGCAGCGGGAGCGGTCCTGCGGTGAAGGCGAGCGTTTTGGTACACCAGCATTTGCGGGGCCAGGGCCTCAGAGGCCCGAGTGGGGTCCGTCGCTAGGGCTATCGATTCTATTTTAAAAAATTTAAAAAGCCCTCGGGAGTGGCCTTTCTTACAGAGGCCGGTAACGTCCGGCACAGGAGCTTTCCGGTGATTTTAAGGGACTACTGACAACAAACCCCTCCTCCAGTCTCCTCTTCTTCAAAGACTTCGCGTAATTCAGGTTAGGCCCCCGTCCAGCAGCGCCCTAAACACATGTGAAACTTCCAGCACATAAACTGCATGAAATTAATGTAATTGCTAGTGTGCTTTTACACATGCTTTGTTGGATTAGGACCCTGCTCGTCTACTGAAGCTATTCAGAGGTTTGCCAGAGGAGAGCCACTGTTTATTTTGCTTTCGGTAAAATATTTAAAAATACATATTTGCCACCTTACTTCAATTTTTGAATGACTGAAGCGTTTTCTTTGGCTAGTTTAGTCGGTTATCCAGATGGTTTTCAATATCCTCCTCATTCCTTTTGATGACCAGAAAGCACTTCTTTTTGTATAACGTTTTTGTGTTGAATCTGCCAAGTCTGCTATTATTCAGAGATTTTGGGGGATTAGTTTTAAGGCAGCTTCTCAAAAACGTATCAATGTAGTGATGCAGTACAATATGTACCAAACCCACTATTTAAGAATCCTCCCAAAGTATAGAGAATTATTTATTGTCAAAGGATGACAACTATAGGAGTGTAACTTCTTTGTACATAATTTTTCCTTGCACACCTTGTAGCTATGCAGTGGTTATTGAGCCTTTTCCTTCAAGTATTCACGAGGAGTGATACACATGGTAATGACTGCCAACCTATAGCTGGGTTGACTGATTGAATACTTGCAGAAATAAGTTATGATTAAGTATTATTTTTGTCCTGGACAGGAAGGACACAATCCTGAAGCAACATGTTACCAATATAAGATGGTTTTTTCCACCTTTGATTTTAGTACAAAGTAGGGCCAATCATTTGATGTATTTTTAAACAGATGGAAGTCTGTTCAGTAGTGGAAACTTCAAAAAAGGTAGTCTTCTGTAGACAAGAAGGAAAAAAGCTTCTATAATAGTGGCAGTTAGTATTTTTGGATAGGAGAACCAGAATGCTTATCAGTTCCAGTAGTCTGTGTGGTTTTGTACAAAGTATCTATGTGGCTAAGGCTTTGATCCTGCAAACACACACTAACTTTTTGCAAAAAAAAGGCAAGTTGACAGTCTCACAGTCCAATATCCAATGCACTGCTAGTTGGTCAGTATTACTAAGCATTTGCCTTTCACTGATTAGAAACTAGTTCCTTGAGCAGTGAAAGTAATTAATCCTAGTTTCTAATGGATTTTTCTCTTCCCTCTCTCCTTACCACACGAACCTCCCACTTCACTCCCATGTTCCCTAGCCTCACCTCTGAAATTACTCCAGCTTGCCCACGTGCCTTAACCCTTTATAGCACCCCAGTATGCTCATGCCTGTAACTGACAGCTGTCCTAGAGGGAGCACCCAATGCAGCTGCTTCCCAGCTGTGTGCATACACCCACGGCTCCATCACCCAGTTCACACCTGGGAGCTCTCCAGCTGGCAGTCCAAAGAGTTCCCATTTCCCTCCTTCCCTCAAATAAGACCACTTATCTCAGTTTTCCTCCACTATCCATCATCACACTTCTCAAAAAAGTTATGGGAACTTCAGTGTCTTTGAGACACGTTCCTCCCTCAAACTGGGGTGAAATTAGCCCACAGGTTCAAAAGCTAGTATAGAGAGCTGACTGGAATAGACCCCATAGCAAGATTGCTCAAGCTTCATTACTGTAGGAAATGAAGGTTAAAAGGTCTCGAAGACACATTAAGAGGTCATGTAATCCATCTTCCTTCTCCAAGGTAGAATCAGCTATGCCTTCCTTATTCCTGACAGATGCTTGTCTAAACAGGTCGTAAAAATCCTCCTGCAGCAGTAGAAATTTTTAAACCATCCTCTGAAACCTACTCTAGTGTTTGTCCTTAACCATTACATTGTTTCTCCCCATGATATATAACCTAAATCTCCCATTGTAATTTTAGCCCATTGTTGAAGCGCTTCAGTGAACACAGAAACATTTTTTTCCCTTCTCTGTTTTTGAAGACTTTAATCTTCAGTAAATTACATCAGTTCCTTTCTATCTCTAGGTCACCACTGCAAGGCCTCTGATCATTCTTGTATTTTCTCTCTGCATACTCTGCAACGGCTCCTTTTATTCTTTTTTGACTATAGTTCTGGGACTGGACACAGCACTCCAACTAAGGCCCTTTTAAATGCTGAGTGATAAAGCCTGACTCTATGGGGATACCATTAAATTAGCAGTATCTGTCAATATAATAATTGTAAACTGAAGTTAGTCTTTTTAACATCAAGCTTTACTAATTATTAATTTATTGATATTGCTTTTGTATGCTTTGTTTAGTAGGAAAAGTACCTACTGTTACTATGGAAGGGTATAATACCACTGTGGTTGATGAAGTTGTATGTGTATGTAGGCCTATAGTTTAAGGGGATTACTGTGTTTCCTTAATAGACAATAATGCCTGTAAGTCTTCAGTTTCATATTAATATGTAATAAAATACTTTTTTCTAGTTCACACTATTTATGTGAGTTGCTATAATATTTTACAAAGTTCATATATATATTAGTATAGCATACAGGAGATTTTAGGTGAAAAGTCATTAGTGATATTTTATGTTTCTGTAAAACACATTCTTTGTTTCAAGAATGAAGAGAGTATTAGCAACACGTGGCAGCATTGTCTTGAAATGTAGAAATATGATTTTCAATGGATAAACTGGATACTCAAATTTTGTGGCTGGATCTGGTTTCTTGGGCAGAAACACTGCTTCTGATCATTCAAAGTAACACTCAATCCTCGTAGCTAAGTGCCTATGTCCTAAGCAAAGCACCTAAGCATAAACTCATTTCTAAGCTTGTCTGTAACAATACTGAAGCTAGGAAAATACACGTGCTTAAGTGAATTTTCTACTTACAGCATTTTAAAGTTTCTAAAAGTAATGAAGAATTCATTTTTACCCAGTTTTGAGTATCCTAACTACTTTTTTGCATTGAAATGACAACATTAAGCCCTTAAGAAAATTGAGTAGTGTCCAACAAAACACACTTATTTCAAGACTTGGGTAAACGAAGTACCTGAAGATAATAGAGTACACTAATTACAAATTAGCGATTACACAAATTACAAAAGGCCATCTAAAATAACTGTTCCTCAAAGTACTAAATACAGTATGACTTTAGGAGAAAATGGCTATTCTTCATATGCAAAATGGCTCATTCTATTTACAAAAATAAAAATATTTTAAACCTTATTTTTTTCTAGCCAATTAATATCTTCCCCATACATACGAGCACTTTGGATGCATTACTAATGATTTTTGGCATCCACAATTTCCCAGTATCACAGAAAGGAAGATGGCAAACTTTCAAAGTTTGTCTCAAACATCCTGGAGGGCTCTTGAAGACAATAATATTGATTAAGATGGAAGATCAGCTGCTGATCTCTACTGATCTCTTCATACTGCAGTAGGATCAGTTTGGTTTTTTTTAATTTATATTCTTCACTGCCTAGGCTGCTAAACATCTCTATTCACAAACAGTTTTTTTAGGGACTTTCTGACAGCAAGAAAGTGAAAGAATAGCACAACTACTTAAAGCAGTTCATTAAAAAAATAATCTTACTTTTTTCAGGTAAACATCAATAGCTGTTTCATATGTTTGGAGCACACATTTTGTGTTGTAACAAAATTCTGAGCTAACAAGAACTCCACAAGAAACCAATTTTGGGATACCCTGAAGACCTTCTTATATAAACTGTTGAACTAAACCTAGTTTGTAAGAAAGTAATGAGATTCTCTGAAATATGTGTGATATCCCACTCTTAGCCTGCAAAGCATCATAGATACACAGGATTGCTGACTCCAGTAATTTTACTGATAAATACTTTACATGGCAAAAGGCTTGGGGATTTTTTCCTGCAATGCTGCCTCTAACATCTGCAGCATTCAAGTGATTCCCTCAAATTTGCTTTCCACTAAAAAAGTGAACAAACTAAACCTTCAAAAGTAAAAACTAAAGTTTCAGAAGGCAAATAAATAGAATCCAAAAGTTAGTATTTAAAACAATAAATATTTCATTTTGAAGTTAATGTTACATTAGGCTGGTTGGATTGGATGGTCCTGATGTACCAGTTGACTGGATTGGATATACTCATAGAAACTATATGTTATAGTCTATTATTATAGTGCAGCTATGTATAAAGTCTTCAAACACTTAAAAGACATACAGCCTGAAAAAATATCAGACTGATATTCTGTATTTTGTAATTATCATAATTGACTAATTTAACTGATCTCAGTTATTTTATAAAGAAACATTTTCCATTTTTGTTTTTGTTTTAATTCCATGCATTTGATTTATTTACCACTTACGTCCTTTTTCAGGATTTATAAGCTGAAATTGAAATAAGAGGTGGAAGACAGGTTTTATAGGAAGATTAGGAAGACAGAAGGATTTTTAATTTAGCAATGGACACAGTGTTGGGGAGACAAACAAAAAGAATCTTTTTAAAGTGAAAAAGGTACTAAATTATTTTTAAAATGTTATTCTGGGTGGGAAGAGGTGCCTTGTTACCCTTTAAATCATATAAATATATTAAATTATATTACAGAAGCATTTTCAGAACTGGAGATTTTAGGCAATACCAAATCTACTAACTCTTCAGAAGCACTATAAAAGTTAATACAAGACTTGCCTTCTTCCCCAGCTTCATCCCTCCTGATAACAGCCAGCATCTGACATTTTGTAGATATCCTAGCATACAGGAATCATAGGATTAGGTTGCACATATTTTTTCTTTATGTAGCAATTATTTAGAAAATACATTTTAATAATCTATCAACCAATTGTAGGCTATCTAGCAAATCTGATAGGTCATGGAGCTCCACAGAAAT